GAACCAGTTGGAACAGAGGTTAGGTAGAACCCTTGAAGACATCGGTGTAGGAAAAGATTTTATGAATAAAACCTCAGTTGCATTTCTTTAATAGGAATCACTTGTGTATACACAGATTCACATTTAAGACATTACAGTCCCTTCAGCAAAGTACAAACATTAAAAATACTTTGATCATGTGGGAAACTTTGTCATTAAAAGAGTATCAATTTGATAGAAAATTAAGATAAGAGTTTCAAAATGTAAATATCTTTGATTATCAATTATATACATGCATATATGCCCATATTCATATGAATATATGCACATATATGTATATAACATTTTTACGTGTACATATTCATATATGTTATTAATAAAGTATGTGTATATACAAAGCATGAACTATTGAGATTTGGTGATTGCCATCAAATAAAGTATTTAGGCTATTATACTTGATCCTCTATTTATTCAAATGTATGATGACCCAATCCTCTTTTCAGGTAGACCAAAGCTCTTCTCATTTTTATCTGTACCTAAAGACTTTACTCATGGGATTGTATCTCTCAGGATACAATACCTACTTCATTCTTGATATGTTGTATTCCTCTATGAAATAAGAAAGAGTAGAGAGGGGTGAGTTAGCACAACATTACTTGCCTTTTTCCTTAACTCAGCTTTCTTGAAGCAAAGAGAAGTATGTCTAGTTCTCTGATTTATCTCATTCTTGAGTATCAAATCTGAAGGAACAAAACATTTCCTACTATTTTACTGGTTGGTCTGCTTAATACAATTGTTTTAGCTAAGCCATCACTTGATTTTCTTTTAATCCATGGTTCTAGTAACTGTCAGTCCAACGTTATACTTTTGCTTTCATCTTTTTGGTGTTCTCATACATATTTTGGTGGGAGTTTGAGAGAGACTGAATAAGAATTTGCTAGACAACAGCCATTTTAATTTTGAAATCATGATTATATGTTGATCTTTCCCTTGACAGTGAAAACAATCTTTTAATCCTACGGAAGTAAATGTAACAATTCTAAAATCAACAGGCAACTTAACATATAATTTTAAACAGCTTTTTGTTGTTCACATAGCATGTAATTCACTCATTTAAGCTCTATGACAAATGTATTTCAGTACTTCTTAGACATGTGCAATCATCACCAACTCTATAACTTCAAAAGATTTCCATCATCTCAGTAAAGAAACTCTGTACTCATTGAGTCACTTCCTATTTCCCCTAACTCCCTACCTTAGTCTAAGACAACCACTCATGTTGTCTTTGTCTCTATGGATTTACCCTCTAGTCATTTCATTTAAAAGTAATCATAAATAGTTTGGTTTTTGTGTCTGCTTTCTTTAATTTACCATAATGTTTCCAAGATTAATCCCTATTGCAGTATGAATCAGTACTTCATTTGCTTTTGTTGCATAGTAATATTCTATTGTATAGATATAAAATATCAGATGATACACACTCGAGCTGTTTCCATTATTTTGCTTATGAATAACACCATTATCAACATTTATATATTTTAATGGACATGTGTTTTCATTTCTCTTGGATATATCCAGGAGTAGAAGTGCTAGATCACAAAGTAACTCTGTTTAACTTTTTAATTAACTGCCAATTTTTTTTCACAACTGCTGCATTCATTTATATTCTCATCAACAATGAAGGAAAGTTATACTTTATCCAAATCCTCACCAATATGTTATTTTTTCTTCTTAATTCTAGCTATCTCATTGAAATAGTGGAACTGTATTATACTTTTGATTAGCATCTGTCTGATGGCTAATAATATCTAGTATCTTTTCATGACCATTTGTACATGTTTGGAGAAATATATATTCAAGTCAGTAGATTATAATATTTAAAAAATTACTATATTATCAGCAGCCATGGATGAAATGTTATTATCAAAAATATTTTTAAAATAAATACTTAGTGGATTAGATCTTCATGCTTTGATTGTATTCTGTATTATTTTTTTGTGTGTAGTGACAACACCTTGTCAGAAATACCATGGAGACCATTGAAAAATGACCTATTTGCTCATCCTGCACTTTCAATTACACTGACCTATTGATGCTAAGGTCTTTTGATTGGCATAATCTTATCTTTAAAAAAGCAGGAACAATTTCTTTATGTTTAGAATTTTCAACAATATGCATATTAAATAGTATAGTGAATTTAAATAAAAAATTTTAAAACTGTTGATACATCCATTCTTCCCCTAAGTTAAAATGAGTTTGGGTTCTCAGATCAAATTCATTTTAAAATCAAACTCATTATCAACTTATGGGGAGACTGGATGTACCTGAAATGAAAACATCTTTATTTTTAATGAAATCTTGAAGATGCACAAGTAAATCTTGAAGAAGTAAATCGTGAAGAAGATAGGGTATTCACACAAGATAGACCATCATAGTTCAGGGTTAGATTTATTTCCTGACTATTTCTATCAGGAAACTTTTTAGTATTGCTATTTTCCTATGTAGACTAATGGTTCATTTTCTTTGACTTTATTGCTAAGTCTAGATGTTAACCTGATTGGATCATGTGCTTTTACTACCCCTGAGTGGCTTCTAATCAACCTGTAATTGAATCTGTTAGTAACAGGAAATTTACCACCTTCAGATACAGCTTTCATATTTAGACATATTTGACATTAAGAAGAATTATTTTCCTACCTTCCCTTTCTCTCCAATTTATCAAGAAAAAGAGAGGATAGATTGTTCTAGAGGAATGTCTACTTTGGTGCAACTGGCTATAACAAAGCCTATTGTCGAAGTGAATTTCTTTCAGCTCTTCTTTAAACATGCATGACCCTTCAGTGTGCTCCTGAGGGCTGCATATATGCCTTGATGGTCCATGTTCTTTGTCTTCAATTTCTGGTCCCTTAGCATGTTGTTTCAAGAGAATAGCACCTAAAAGGTTTTTAAGAGGAAATCATTCAATTACTATTGCTGTGTCCTGTTTAAAATGACCCTTTTCAGAAGTTCCACATCTCCCATAACAGTTCTGGGCAAAGACTAACTTCTAGTGCTTCTAAAATGTCTCAGAAATGCCAAGTAGCTCATTTGTTCCTGGCTTTGCTCAAATTATGTGTTATATAACCAGTGAAAAAATGAAAGAAAACTCAAATTTTACCCTTGGAACTAACCCTGGATATTATATGTATTTTGTCTACTCTGGTCCAAAGAGGAACAAAATGTCAGGGTGAGTTTTTAGGGTGGAGGTAGATATTATGAAGTTGTGCTACACAGACACACATTTGAAAAATCACCAAAACTGTGCCTCAAAATATCAAAAGTTTGAAACAAATTTGTTTGATAATAACGATACAAAATGGGGTTAGAATCTTCTATGACAGGTTTCAAATACTTTAATCACCAATTATTCCCTAATCCTTCAGGGGAGTACAGTTTTATATCCACTACCATCAGGCAGAATTTGGAGCCCTCAGAAAACTGGATTTCACAGGCCTTTTTTGGTTTTGAAGTAAAGAATGAAAGTAAAGATAAATGTAGGCCTGCCTTAATAATGAAGGAAAAAGCTCTTTCTGTTTCTGTTCAATTCCCTTTATTCATGATTATGGATTTAGACTATGGTTGGCAAACTGCAACTCATACAAACTCTGATCCACCACCTGTTTATGTAAATAAAGTGTAATTGGAATGTAGCCACACCCATCCATTTATGAATTCTCTGGCTGCTTTTGTATGAGAACCATATGTTTTGGTAGTTGTGACAGACATAATCTAGTCTACAAAGCTGAAAATATTTTCCCTTACAGTAAAAGTTTGTCAACTCCACAGTAGACTGTATATCCATACTACTCCACCCCATGAAGGTCAATTTCATGGGCAATACACACTATATTGTTTAACATTTTTTTCTTTCTTAACTGACATAAAACTTAAAATTGTATATGTTAATGGGATACTATGTGATGTTTCAGTATCTGTATAGATTGTATAATGTTTAAATCAGTTTAAACAAATTTCTCTTCCTAAACTTTTGTCAAGTCTTTATAGTGGAAAGCTTTCAAAATCTTGTCTGTAGATTTTTGAAATGTACAGTACATTACTGTTACCTATAGGTACTCTACTATGCCATAGCACACTAGAAATTCTTGCTTCTAACTATACCTTATACCTATTAATTCCATTCCCCACTCCCCATATTTTCCCTAATCTCTGTTAACCATCATTCTACTCTCAAGTTCTATGCGATCAACTTTTGTAATGCGACATAGAAGTTATTTTATGAGGTATTTGTCTTGGTTTTAAATTTTTATGAATACATGTTTTCAGTAAATAATGATTGCATTCATCTGGAGAATAATACATCTTAATTCTTTTTCTTCCCCTTTCCCCACCCTCCATCCATATTTCCATGCTTAGCTTATTTTACTGATGATCTTCACTTCCATCCATGCTCTCACAAATAACAGGATCTCATTCTTATGTATGGACAAATACAATTCCATTTTATTTATGTACTTTTTTTTATTCATTCATGAGCTGATGGACACTTAGGTTGTTTCCATTTTTTGGCTAGTGTGAATATTGCTGTGATGAACATGGGAATGCAACTACCTATTCTACATAATGGTTTCAGTTGCTTTGGGTATATATCCAGTTGATTTTTTTTCCAGGAGCATCCATACTATTTTCCATAATGGTTGTACTAATTTATATTCCCAGCATCAGCGTTCAAGGGTTGTTTTTTCTCCTCATCTTTACCAGCACTTGTTATCTTTAGTCATTTTGATACTAGCCATTCTCACTAGAGTTAGGTGATATATAATTGTGACTTTGATTTGCATTTCCCTGATGATTGGTCATGTTGAAAACTTTTTCACATATTTGTATGTAGCTTACACATTACTGTATTCTATTCCCCTAGCACAGTGTCCAACACATAGCTAATATTCCAACAATACTGGTTGATAAGCAAGTGAATGAATATTACTCTGACACATTCAAATGCATACTGTTTCCATTCCCAGGTACAAGGAAGACTTTCATAATCTACTGAATCTACATCTTTTAGGCACCTGAATTACAAAGCCTTAACAAGAAGATTGGAAGAGAATCAAGGCCGGAGAAGTTCTTGAAGCAATGGGAGAGGTAAAATCTTTTTTAATAAATTCTGTCTGTGCAACTCCTTGCACAGAAGAAGTAGAATTCAGTGCTTAATAGACAAACAACAAATAAATACCTATCAATGACCCAAAGCACTTTTGAGTTATGATATTTGTAACAGATACAATGATTCTCTAATTTGGTCATTACACTGAACAAAGCCTTTCCGACAACCAAAACCAAATTTATTTCTCTCTGTCTTTGTGATCAGAAACAATTAGCGAAAATTGGCTAAATTCTTGAAAGAGTAATCCTAATTGAAAAGAGAATTTTGAGGACACAGTAATTAATAACAACAAATACTTTAGTGATAATAATAAAGGGCATAGACACTGGACTTGGTTACTTATGTTAGAGCAATTCCATAGAAGCATGGACTTGTATATTGAATTGCAGAAGGTTAACAAGGACTGGGTACACTAATGCTAGACCAAAATCACAAGAAGAAAAAAGGTATAGACCACTATCCCTTATGAATATAAAAACTTCCTAAGCCAAATGCCAGAAAATCAAATTCCGCAACATGTGAAAAGTAATGTATAGCATAACTAATGCTGCCAGTAATGCGATGTTGAGTCAACATACATGAAAAATTTTATGTGATCTGCTATATTAATTCATTAATAGCAAAATCCAAATAACTTCAGCAGATGCAGATAAAACCAAACACCTATCATCAGAAAATCACTCAACAAATTAGGAATAAAAGGGAACGTCTACAATCTGATAAGGAGCATTTATGAAAAACACAGAGGTAACATATAACACTTAATGGTCAAAGACCAGTAAGAGCATTTTCCCTACAATCAGGAACAAGAGAAGAATGCCCATTTTCTCTACTTTTATTCAACATTGCACTGGAATTTCTAGCTAGAGCACTTAAAAAATAAAATATCAGTCCTTCAAAGACATAAGTACAACCATCTCTATTAATAGATGACATGAACTTACATACACAGGAACCTATAAGGAACCCAGAAAAATGTATTAGAAATGATATAAAATTCCAGCAAGATTTCATGATGCAAGATTGTTGTACACAAAAAATTATATTTGTGTATATTAGAAATGAACAACCAGAAAATAAAATTGAGAAAATAATTCCCTTGGATGTATAAAAAATAATATTTAGAAATATATTTAACTAGGGAAGTGAAAATTTTAATAAATTTAACAATGCAAAAACTATCAAAATAAATTAAAAATGTATGAAAATATAAAGATAATTCATGTTCACGAAATAGAAGGCTAATATTGTTAAAATGACAATACTCCAAAAATTTATCTGTTTTCCCAGAAAATCTCAGCTCCATTTTCCTTTTCAAGAGATAGATAAAATGATTCTAATGTTCACATAGAAACACAAGAAGCATAGACTAGCCAAACCAATTAGAAACAAATTGCAGGATTCACATTTCCTAATATCAAAACTTAACATCTTTTTACAAAAGACTTAACTTCTTATAGTCAAGATTATGTGCTACTGATATAAAGACAGCTATGTATATTAAATGAATAGAATTGAAACTATAGAAGCAAAGCGACACATTGATGATCAATTGCTTGTCAGTAAGAATGCCAGGATAATTCAATAGAAAAAGGATAATATGCTCCACATATGATGACAGGAGAGCTAGATGTCACATACAGAAGGATGAATTTGGAATCTTATCATATGATGCACACAAAATTTAACTCAAAATGGATCATATAAAAACTATAAAAATCCGTAAAGAAAACAGTTGTAAATCTTTATGACCTTGGATTTAACAATAAATTTTTAGATAGGGCAGCAAAAGCACAAACAAGCAAAAGAATAAATTGGAATTAACCATTTTAATTTAAAAATGATTGTGTTTCAATTGATATTATCAAAAATGAAACAAAAACCCATGGAATGAGGTCAGATATTTGAAAATCATGTATCTGATAAAATTCTTATACCTAGAGTATATAGAGAACTTTTACAAGTCAATAATAAAAGACAACCCAAGTTACAAATGACCACGTGATTTAACATTTCTCCAAAGCAGATACACAATTGGTCAAAGTGTAAAGATGGTCAACCTAGTACTCTGGGAAGCTGAGGCAAGATGATTGCAAGTTCAAACTATCCAGGACAACTTAGCAAATTAGTGAAAACGTGTCTCAAAATAAAAATATAAAATAGATTGGCAAAGGGTTCAGTGTGAAGGCCTAGGGTTCAATTTGCAACATAAAAGAAAATAAAGAAAAAGAAAATAAAAGATGGCCAATATTGTTGCAAATCAAAGCTACAGTAGGATACTATTCAAGACTTACTAGGTATGTCTCTGCAAGAGACAATCATAAATATTGCCAAGAATGTGGAGAAATTGGAACCCTCATATCTTCCTACTGGACAGGTAAAATGGTTCAGACATTTTGGAAAACAATTTTGCACTCTTTTTTTGGACCCAGAAATTCCGCTCTTAGGTATTTACACAAGAGAATTGAAAACATGTGTTCTCGCAAGCACTTGTTCATGAATGCTCACAGCATCATTATAGTAAGTCCCCAACTTATGACCATTAGTAGTGAACTTTCACAGGTGTACTGTACAGGATTCACAGGTGTACTGTATAAGACTCACTTTGTTGGATTACAAACTAATCCAACTTCCAAAATAGAATAGAGCTAATTCATAAGATGGAGACTTACTGTATTTATAATTACCTGAAAGTATAAACAATCCTAATTTCAGTGTCCATAAATGGATGAATATATAAATAAAACATGTTATATCTTTGTAATGAAATATTGGCCATGAAAAGGAATGGCATATACTGATATGATAATGATATACTGATACTATATGGATGAACTCAGAAAATATCTTTCTAGGTGAAAGGAGCCAAACACAAAAGAACACATATGATCATATTTATTTAAAATGTCTGGAATAGGCAAATCTATAGAGAATGGAATCAGTTGGTGGTTGGTAGGACTAAGGGGGTTTGAGTAGTGATTATTAATAAATACAAAATTTCTTTTTGAGTGATGAAAATATTCTGAGATTAGACAGTGTCATGGTTGTGAATATAGTAAGAAGCAATAAAATTTACACTGCAGCATGGTGAATTTAATAGTATGTAACTTATCTCTACTTTAAGAAAGAATTGATTGTCAGGAAATGGAGAAAGTGCATATGGATTCCAAGTTTGATTATTCTGGGACTGACAGCACAGAGAACTAAACTAATTCCCACATAGGCAATCATGCTCAACTGAAAATTTCAAATTGGTGATCTTAGATATGTTTAAATTGTAAGGAATCGATGGAGACACAGAAGTTTTAAAAAATTGGGTGGAGACAGAGAATACATGTCTAACTGTATATCTCTAACTACAGTAGAGAATACTAGAAATGCATAAGGGCAGTTGATTTCTTTTCTATATAGCATTAGTAACTTCTGAGTCCAACATAGAGAAGGAAATGACCCAATTAATCCTTCTCTGTGTAATATTTATGGTGCATGTGCATGATTTTGGTCCTTTATGGGAAATGAACACCGACTTAATGGTTGTCATTTTATAATAGACATAAAATTGATTGCTTCCAAAAATGAAAATGAGAAAAGTGAGTTGAACTGGGTTTATTAATTTTCCAATGTTGAAAGGGAAGGAAAGATCTTGTATATATTTTATGTTTATGCTGCATATGCTAAAGGCAACATATTGTTATGTTTTAAGAATAGCAATTTAAGCAAAAAAACAAAAAGAATAGCAGTTTCTTCATGTCTCTTGTCTTAAAGTATAAGTCATTTATAACCAGTTTTCATTGAAGAGCCCCCCCATAACATGGTATTTTATTGATTTGCCTTAAAACTTAATGGGGGGTGAGATGAGACCCTCTACAACAGAAAACTGTTGAAAGCATAAACAGACCTTATAGATTATTTTTTAAAAGAGTGCAAGCATAGTTAAAATGATACATTCTGACCTTTTTCTGTAAAATGTCAATGTTACCTTTTTACATTAGTGACTTGACAAGAACCAGATCCCAGAAATCTGCCTGTGTTGAATCAGTTCTGACTGTGATGAGTGCAATTAGAGGACCCATGGATTGTGGATTGTTTGAAGGACAGAAGTTAACAAAACAGATGTTGTTCATATGTTGAATATTTAAGCAGTTCTCTCTTCACTCTCTTTTAAGGCTCCAGGTAATGCAGAAATATAAAAAGATTCACAGTCTCTACTAGATTAATACATACTGGTATCAACAGGGCATGCATTATGAAAAATAAGAGGTTAAACTAGCATTGATTGTCTATGTCAGTTTGATTTCCCCTCCCAATGACAATTGTAGTCTATTTAAAAAATCTCTTTAGCATTCCAGGAGGGGGGGAGTGGAAGAAGGAGAGGAAGACAGAGTCAGAAGAACTGAGAAGAATAGACAGAAAAAGACAGAGAAAGAGAGAGAGATGCAGAGAAAAATAGAGAGGAAGAGAGCTAGGGAGAACAATAGAGAGAAGGAGAGGGAAAATGTTTGCTTCTTGTGAGAGACTAATTTAAGTGGTGAACATTCTTGTTTTCTCACCCCTGAACATAGCTGTGTGACAGTGGAAAGCAATCTGTATGTGGTGGTGCTGATATTATTCCTACCTCAAAATAAGCCCAAATAGATTTGAAGGCATAAAATTTCAAAATCTCAAGAAACTCTGAAAATGCACCAGAATTGGTTTTGAAGAACTTCTGATTAAGGAAAAAAGATTGTAAAACAGATTTCTCTTTAGCTTAGAAGATACTGTTTTAACTCAACACATTTCAGGCTAATCGAGTTTAGCATTTTCACTAATTAAAGTCATTTGGAGCTCAAGCTTATTTTCAGAAATTTCAACTGATTAAAAGTTCAAGACATCTACCTATTATTGTTTTCCTCTATGTCCTTAAATTTATCTCTTTCAAATTATATTCTTGAACAACATATAGGATTTAATGGTATCTCACTGATTCACATTTGCCATTAATAACTGTGGGGTATATCCAATGCCTTGACTGGAAATATGGATGGGAGGCAAAATGGGTATGGTATTTTCAGAATTCTTTGTTCAGTGTTCTTTATTTATCTACTTATATGCTCTTCTTGCTTACATCATTCCCTCATTTACTTCTGTGTATCTATATATGTCTCTGTCTCTGCATCTAAGTGTATAATGTATGTATGTAAATATAAAGGAATGTATACATCTATATATCTACCTACCTGTCTGTCTTTGTCCTATGCTTCACTCTAATAACACCTTATTTTCAGATAGCTATCAAGTAACCCAATATTCTTATTTATGAGCATTTATGGTCTCTTTTAAAGAGTTTCACATTTTTCTTTTTAAAACTATTATTTTGATATAATAATTCATACAAAATATGTTAATACATACATACAGCATATGTAGGTTGTGAAGCTCAATAAAATTAAAACCCACATACTCTCAATTTAAGAAGAGGAAGATTATCAAGATTATTCATCTACCTATAATTCCTCTTCTATCTTTATTTCCTGATTATTCAGTGAGAAGTAGCCATGATTCTGAATTTATATTTAATATTCATTATTGCCTTGCCTGTTTCTATTTGTCTCCTAGAATATTAAGTTTTTCATACTTCTGAGCACCGTTAATAGTATTCTGCTCTGACTTATTTTTTAATTAAATATTTCTAAGATCCATCTGTATTTTTATGTGTAGATATTCTGCATATATTTTTTTCTGCCATATAACATTTAATTGTCCAAAATATTGTTAATAGACATCTAGGTTAATCTAATTGTTTTGTTTCTTATTTATATAAACAAAGATGATAGGTTATGTCTGCTGGTAAAAATGTGCTAGAGTTTCTCTAAAGTATATTCATAACAGTGGATAACTGAACTCTAAAATATGTATATGTTTAGCTTTAAGATAGTACTAAATGTTTTAAAGCACTACTTGTGGTGTATATCGTTATAGTCTTTAACTTTTGTCAAGCTAATGGATATAAATGGTTTCTCACTGTAGTCATATGTGGACAATGAATTGAGTATATGTATATAGTTAGCTTAAAATAGCATTAAATTGTTTAAAACATCACCTGCAGTGTGTATTGTCATACTTGCTTTGATTTTTTGTTAATTTAATATGTATAAATGGTGTCTAATTGTAGACTATGAACTATTTCATAGTTTAATCATGAAGTTGACATTATTTTAATTTTTTCTCTCATTTTTGTCACTCACAAAAGTGCATAGTAATATATTTTTTACATTCCCTGTTGTTCACTTATGTTGATATTTAGACATGGATACATTCAGAGTAATAACTATTTTCCTTCACCTATGGGACATATAATACTATCAGGTAGTGGATTGTTTTTCCATTCTCCTTATGGCATTATTTCATCAATAAAATTACTAATTTTTAGGGACTAAATCATACCAAAGTTTTTACATTTAACATAATCAAATTTATGCATATTTTGTTTTATTAATAGTAGGTTGAGCTTTGGTCAACCCTTCCTTACTATTAAGAAACTTATCCTCCTATATTTTCTTATAAACATTTGTAGGTGTTGGCATTCTGATTTGTGTCATTAACCTGTACTGATACTTGACCAGAATAAGAATCCTGTTTTATGTCTCCATATAAAGAGACTATTATAGTATCATTTGCCAAATAGTTTCTTTTTTATGTGAAGATCTGAAATACCAATAGCTCTACCATGTAGTAAGGACACATACATTTTTGTCTCTATTTTCCAATCTATTGCACTGCTTATTTCTTTGTACTGTGACTCTTCACTTATTTTTAGTAAGTATTGGATGTGGAAAGGCACAACCTCCATCTTATTCTCTCATTTCAAATATGTCTTAGTTATCTTTAAACTTTTGTTTATAAACATACGTGCACCAAGACACATATTAGAATCAGTTCATCAAGTACCACAGCACTTATTAATAAAATTCTGAATACAATTTGACTGCATCTATAGATCACTTATAGAACTGAAAGCTTTTTGATATTCAATATACCCATCAACAAGAACGCTGTCATTTCTTTAGGTTTTCTTTAGTGACATTCAGACATATTTCATTAGTTTTGCAAACATAGAAGATAAAACAATTATAGCTGACATATTGATGATCCATATGTTTGTATTAGTAGATAAGTATGATGAAAATATTGAGAGATATGGATTAAAAAGTTGGAAAAAAGAAAAGATGGATACCTGCAAAAAGAACAGGAATATTTTTAAATCAAATATCCAAAATTTAAAAACTAGATAGTATAACAGCAGAAAAAAATAATAGAATACAAAATTAATAAACTTGAAGATGAGTCAATATAAAATATTAA